TTTTAAGAGTTGTAAGTTTCTCTGTAATTAGTTTTCAGTTTAATTGGATTTGTATGCAATGACATACGATCGTAAAAACTTTAAATGAAGATATAACGGTCGTTTCGTCTATGATAAGGTGAAAGATCTGACCAGAACCATTTTTTACTACTATTCATTATTATAATCCGCTGAAAATTCAAATGAAGTTATTTCCAGAAAGTTTTAGGATGAGAATGAAATATTCATTCTTCGCGAAACGGTAGTGTGTCCTGTGGAAGAAAAAAAAAGATAAATTGATCACTAATAATGACAAGAAAGGAATAAAAAATTATCGAGTGGTTTTAAACAACATCGTTATTAACATGTACATATTGTAAATATTCCGTAAGTTCTTTAGATTATGTATTACATGTATTATATATACACACAACACATGCAGTCATGCAGAAATTAGTGCGGAAAGGGCACAAATGTAATATTTAAATTTAATTCAAAAGAATTACATCTGAATATTATAAATTAACAAACAGTGTGACTATTACTATAATTATTTATAAAGAAAAAGATTAAGAATTTATAATAGGCAGTATATTGTATTTTACAAATTTTACTTGATAATTCTATGAGAAACCATTAATATAGTTATATTGAAGAACAGGAGGCTGCTTTAAATGTATCCTATGTGAAAAATAAACAGAATGGATTTTAACAAAACCAGCTGTTAGTGTAATTGGCGATGCATGAAGAAATTTTATAATATCATGGCATGCATTATTTACATAATCCTATATCTGTATGATTTTGATTTATTCAGACATGTGCAAATATTTTATGTATATTGTGCCGTCTTTCAATAGAAAAAATAGAATTATATATATTATTTATATAATATAATAATATAAATTACGTATAATTATATAATTTGGAATAATTATATTATTTGAAGTAATTTTAATTTAAAAGTAGTTTATATTATCGGTGTGAATGGTGCGTGTTAAAGGACAACTAACTCGTTCACACTACCTGATGTTTCTTTCTGCACTCCCACTTTGTCAGTATCTATATCCTTATCTATGATATTTACATTAAGTGTTGTATATGGTCTATCTGAATTTGGATTTCGTCCAACGTAAAACCTACTTTCACCAGAGTATGATGTAGATAGAATGGTCGGTCGATATAAATGTGTGTTTGAAGAGTATTTTGAAAAAATGACCATCAAAAATCTTTTTTGGATCGATTTGACTAACATTAATAAATTTTAATGTTAGCCAATTCTGATTCTTTCTAATAGCAAAAAAAGATATGTAACTAATTAAAATTTGATGTATTTTCGATCTTTATATTACGCGAATAATCATATTAAGGCCAAGTATGTGAATATTGGCCAATCTTGAGTGCAGGAAGGAAATCGAGATAGATCGAGATATCCACTGGACAGAAAATGTACTGGTGGCTGGTAGTAAACTTCGCTGAACGCGAAGTTTAAGTTTCCATTTTTCAAATGTTATAGATGATCATGACAGCCTCCTGCTCTTTGAAGTTAAGGCCGCTAGTGGCCGCATGCGACGAAGAAGAAGAAGAAATCATGTATCTGTTTAGTTATCACACGTACATGCATACCTAATATAAATAGAAGCTATATGAATAAACAAGAAAAGGATATTACATTATCTTAGGATTAGCTTGCTTGGGAGAGTTTCCTTTACTACGTTGAACGTTTTGCGACCGAATCGAACGGTTCACACATATACACGTATGAAACACCCACAGACATGTACACAGACTCTACATGCAGTATAATGTAATAGAGGATTTACCACTAATTTTATTATTTTTACACCTATTATGATGTATATCGATTGTACGCAGTTTGATGTACAATCACTATTGTCTTCTTCTTTAGGCACAGCATGTCTTTGGGGCCGCTGGTTCTTAGGCTGCGCCTCGAGGAACCAGCTCTATCATGAAAGCGATTATTGCTGTCTTCTCTTTCTTTAACGTGCAATCGGACAGGAGTGATTGATCTACAATCTTATATATTGATGATGATTCGTAATCATAAAGATATATTTGATTCCAATCGGAAATTGTATATTCAGTGAGATTCTTTTTTGATCGACGACCTTCTATTATATGTGCATCAATTATGAGCAATTAATTAGGAGCGATAGTTATTTAAAAATTTGACTGATTCAGCGCACTAACGACCTGTATTTTTAAAAAAATTAATATTAATGAGAATTGAGAAAGTGAAATTTGTATTTTCTCGAATTTTCAAAGAAATGTATCGAGCTCGCTGGTGCGCTAAATCGTTCTTTGTATTGTCAAATGTATTGTTCAGCTAAGATGAAGATATCAGTAAAGATCATTGATAGTACAGAATATCTTTATAAGTATATATAGATATATATTGAAATATATGCATTCAATTCAGAGATTTCGTACATTTTCTAAATCTATGTTTTTTATGCGTGACGTTGCATTTAGCGAAATATTTTCTAACATATAAATTTATATATAAATATTTCGAACCTATTTCGATACATAACAGTAGCTAACTGTGAGAAAATTGGGTATTATAAAATACGACATAAGTAATTCTTAAATTTACATGAAAATGCAAAGTTGGAAACATTATCATACGGTTACTTCTCGTTGTCTTCATAGTCTTTTCCTCGAGGCGTAAATTAGCAAAGTGGCTCGATAAGACAATAGTAAACATGGTGCAGTTTAGCTTTTTCTTTTGATAAGGGTCTAGACCAAACGCAATTATATTACATGTTGTAGCCTAAATAAAAGAATTTTCTAATAAAATTCAATATATTGAAATAATATTGTCGGATCTTTTTTCTTTCACTTTTACTTTCTAATCCTTCGACCCGTCCTATTATATTTTTATAAAATTTAAAATATAATGGACCCCATTTTTAATAAAAGAATATCTTTTAAAAAAGATGACAATGGTAAGACAGATACGATAAATACATAAATGTATTCAAAAATATGCAATGAATATTAAAAAAAAATTTATATTTATACACATCAAGTTTCTGTTTCTTTATGATCCCGTTGATTATTTTAATTATTTTAAGTCCGTTTCATGTGATTTAAAATTTATGAAAAGACAATAAGTACGTTTAGCGGTATATAGTTTTAAATATATTTATTGAATCGTTATTGCATATAACTTTTGGATGCATTAAACGTTTATTGCATATAAACATTAGACAATTGCACTAACATCAATTTATATATTTTTGAATAAGTTTTTATAGGATTTTTAAGGATTTTTTTTGATGATATATACTTAGCTTATTTGTATTGATCTTATACTCATTTTTTATTTGTACTTACTTTTATATTCATTTTTTAATTAATTTTTGAATAAATATAAGTTTTTTAATACTTATTGCATATTTTTGAATGCATTTATGTAGGACGAAGTTGGCTAAGTTGTATCGATAGTTAAATTGTACCTCTATTGTGTTTTCTAAACGAAACATTTTTTTTTTTAAGTGACGACAGTTGTGACGATAATAACATGACTGTCAAGTACTGTCATTTTTGTCTTGTCTTCAAGCGATCCGTTTACGAATAATATTTAAAATTAATTTTGTTCGGTATTTGATCTAAGTTTTCGTATAGTTTATCTAAGATGTTGTCAGTATAAGGTGAGTAATTAAATTATAATATTATTGAATTATAATTGAATTAATTCATCTAAGATGTTATCAATATAAAGTGAATAATTGAATTATAGTGTATTATAACTGTATTATAATTGATATTTAAACTCTTTTCGAGTATAGTATCAAATTAATAAAATATTTGTAATATATTATAAATATTTGTTGTATTGTTGGCAAATTCGACCACAGAAAGTTGGATAAATCGTATTTATTGCTGGTCTCTTTATATTGTACTTACATTTAAGATAAAATAAGATTCTAAAATTGAATAATTGAATAATACTTTTGTAATTACTATATGTATTACTATATGTATATCTTGATATTTGTGTATAAGAAAAAGTATGTTTATATTGAGCGTCTTTTTAAGATTAATTACTAAAAGTTATTTATAAATATTATTTGTTGGATTTAAAAAATTTAGATTTTTCTTTGTAAAAACTAATAATTCTTTATATTAATTAAAATATAATTA